AGGGACAATTAAACCAAGTGAGGAAGAAGAACTCTCTTTTCTCAATGCACTGGGGCGTGCATATTAGACGCCGCAACCATGGCGATACACTCACACACACAGAAGAGTCTGCCAAGATTTAAACTGGGAAGCTTGTAAAAGGCCGCTCTGAAAACTTCACGTTGACATTTTAGAACACAGATAGAACTCTGTGTATAGTCCTCAGATTTAATGTCAGGCTGTGCAGTTAAAGGCGCTTCTCTGAGTCATGGCAACATTAAAAGAAATGTGTGTTTCTTAAAACTCTAGAGATTGCGTAATTTCGAGAGTTTTAAGTTGCATGTTTGCAAGCCTTATTAAGTGTGTATTCCAGACAGCTTTTGATGTGTTGCAACTGGGGAAAATGTCAAAAGTTTGGGCTCACCAAACATACACACAAACACACACATCGAGAGAGAGAGAGAGAGAGAGAGAGAGAGGGAGCCTGTGCAGATGTGCTGCCAGTAGACATCCATCTTGTTTTCCCGCTTAGCTCAGTGCTCTATTTGTCTGAATCTATGTCATTTTAGCTCACTCAGGTCAACGGCAATTCAACCTCCTCTTTCGTCTGAGGCACTTCAGAATCATAATGTGATGCATGTGGGATAGGAACCTGCTAAACACAGTCCCTGTCACTGCTCAGACATTGCTGGATATAAATGATATACGCCCTGCGCTTGCCTTCCCCATTCTGAGCCACACTACATCCTGTTTCCACCTGTCCATGATGGCTACTGTGCAAATGTTCTCTCCTAAACCCTTTCAAGCACTGTTCGCGATGTGTCACAGCATTAGACTATAATCACACCTCCAGAAGCGGTGGGAGAAAATATAAGTCTTAGTGATCTGGAAGAAGAAATAGTAAGCAAAGGATTTGTTCACAACAGTCAATATTTCATACTTTCCCTGGGCTCAGCCTTGTTTCTCTCCTTTAAGTTAGTGCAGCTCTCTGCTGGGCGTCTCTTGGGAACGGAGGAAATTACATTCTACCTGATAATTAGCAAAGTTCAGAGCAAACAAAAATATGCCCCGCTCTCTTAGCTCCCCACCACTGGCAGCTTTCTCTTAGCAACTAATTAAGTCCGCCTCTGAGGTTTTCAGACAGCAACGGTGCTGGATGCTGCAACAGCAGAATTAAAAAAACAAAAGGAAGAAGGATGGAAATGAAGAGTGAGAGTTTCCTTTTTTATTACATTTTTTGTTTCATCTTTTTATACCGACAAATAAAATATGACAATGGTATTCCTGGAGGGAGTATTATTATTTCACACATGGATGCATTCTTCAAATAGAAATAACAGTGTTGGCCGCCATTACGCACGGTAGCAAATAGCGAAGCACCCTCTGTCCATAATGTTCTTTAATTATTATAATGTCATCATCCATATCCGGCAATGTTGCATGAAAAGAAACAGCGGAGCACACCGGGTATTAAATGCAAATCACTAATCTCCACACAGTTGAATGAAATCACCGTACACAGACAGCATTATTAGCGATGTTATCGTCACTGTTGCAAATCATATTTATATGTGAGACTCATAGAATGGGAATTGATGCATGCTGTTTCTTCATTTTATTCCTTGGCGGTTTGAATAACTAAAAAGGATTAATAAAGTTCTTATATTTCTGAGTACCAATCACCAAATGTTAGGATTGTTTTTTCAAAGGGAGCAAGGAGAACCAAAAACAAAATGAGAATTAGTAAGAAAGTCTCTGATTCAAGTACTACAAAAAAATAAATAAAAGCTAATTGTAATCTGTCATAAACCTTTGAGTTAAACACTTGAATACAAGTTGCTCATTAGAGACACTTGAGCCACAGTGCCGCTGATGACTAACTGTGTAAATGGAGTCGGCTTTTTAAAGGCAACCCAACAGCCTCCTTGATAAGGCTCTTGGTTGCACTGAGACTGTTTGTGATGTGCAATCCATGAGAGACAGAGGAAGCAGGCAGGCAGGCAGTCATTATTTTCTCCACAATTACCTGAAGTCCTTGATAACGAGCAAAAAAAAAATGCCATATAATTAGAAAAACACCAGCAACACCATTATTGTCAGGAGAACACAACAGTATAATGAAGCAATTATAAATGAGCAGCTTTGTGCTTGTCATTAATTTCTGCTTTTAAGGATGTGGAGATGAAGCATGGCTAAACGTCAGAGGGAGCTGGGAGGAAGTAGAGGTGGGTTAGGCTACGGGGAGAGCACTCTGGGGTGTTGTGTGTGCATGTGTGTGTGTGGGGGGAGGCTGCAGAACAGACAGAAGTGCTGGTGATGAGTCCACCAAGTCTCAGCGTGGACAAAATGTCCACCGGGGGACACTTTAAACACGTTATAATAACCTTCTATCACGCAAGTGCAACTAAAGCCTTTCAGCCTGAAATGTGTGTTTACAAATATGCACAGATGAGGACACGCAGGTTCCAGTGCGGCCACAGACAACCAGATATCATCACACTGTATTCAAGTTGTTTATTTTGTATCAAGTGGAAGATGCTCGCTTGGCAAATGAAAGGTAATGAGGAAAAGTACATGCTGGGCGAGGAGCTTGCCCTTTTCACATATCATCACAGAGATTGATCTCTTCTTCCCTTCCCCTCACTCGTATCCGGTCTCAATTGAGAGATAGTACATTTGAAATTCATGCATATTTTCCTTTGAAATACACACTGTGTGCCTGATGCGGCCGCGCAATTAGGTAACGTGTTGCATTTCATTAAAAAAATTCCCTCCCAACCACTGAGTGGATTAGAGACACGTCTTTTTATTAATGAGCCTTTTTACCCTCTTTGATTTCTCCACATATTGAAATGAGTGAAGACAAGTTGAAATCACAGTTTCCTCCTGATATGTCAGGGCTACTGTGAGCTCAGTTGTTTGCAGCCTCAAAGGCATCAAACAGCAACAAAAGGTGAGCAAATAGGAGAGACAGTGAGTGAGTGAGTGAAGTCACTCCACTTGGTATACACAGAGTGCAACTCCAAAGCATTGTCCTCCTCAGTTAGAAATGCCATCTTATTAACACATCCTACAGCACACTTCATCACATTGTCTTGAGAAGGCAATTGTACGGAAGGGGCAATTAGGACAGAGAAGCTGTGAAGTTGCCATTATTTTAGAATTTAATGACCACGCAATACGGAGCTAGATGTAGAAATGAGAGCTACAATACTACAATTATGCATAATCTGGCAGATCTTACCACACCCCCCACACTCTTCTTCCTTTCGCCTTGAATAAATTTACATGGAAATGCATCTGTGCCTAATTTATTCCGAAAAATTAGAATATACATTACAAATATTTCCATAGACGACAACGGCAACATGCGGTTGGGAATTTAATGACTTATTTCTCTGTATTCAGGTTTATGGATTAGGTCGGGAGGGCACACCCTCTACCGGCAGGTTATTTCGGGGGGGTAATAAAGGGAAACAATTATAAGCAGGTGTATATATTTATGTTCACTTTTCCTTTTTTTCCAGGTGTTTTGCCAATGCAATCTATAGGAAAAGAAAGCTTTCTGGCCTGTAAGAAGAATAAAACACAGTGAGGAAATGTGTGTTCTGCTTGTGCGAGTGTGTGTATTTATGTGCTGTGAAACCATGTGTGTGTGCCACTTGTAATGGCAAGATGCATGACTCTGGACAGAACCCAAAAGCAGGGATTATTGACATGGATGCTCCACCATTAATAAGCCGCTGTATCCTTTGTGTTCGGGGTCGCCATTGCTGCAGTTAACTATAACTTGTCAAGGCTGCTCCAGCCGCACAATGCGTACCTCATGCATCTCCTGTCAGCAGGCATAATTCCTAGATGCTGGCACGCCGCTGATTTCTGCATAAGTGATGCGAGCCTTCTAGTAGAGTTAGGAGCACGAGTCTTTTGCCATTGAGAGATGTTCATCATTCTTGATCTGGCTCTGTCAAGACCTGGTGTTTTAGTGCCTCTCACGATTAGGCAGAATTGACAGGCCAAGAAGGCAGTGAATAGCAAAAATGTGTGGAACTAAGGGGGTGTGGTGTAGGCTGTAGGGTGAAGTGGAGTGTGGCCGCCATTTAATCTGCAATTTATCAGTTTAGGCTGCACCATGTAACATCAGGGAGATTACATTCCTGAGAGAAGGGGCTCTATCTCTCCTCCATCCCCTCCTCCCTATCTCCTCTCAAATGCCTCCTAATGTCGTCTGACGGCAGAACTCGGAGGACAAAGAGGGAGGACTGTCTTTATTGTCACCATTATTGTTTCTGAAACCCCTTAATTAATATATAGCATTGTGGACTCCTCTGTGAGTAAGCAATGAAGTGCCAGCGAGAGAGAGACGGAGCATAAGAGGTTTGCTGCGGGGAGACAGGCTCCATCTTTTATGGAGGCCGTTAGTCATGAAGAAAAAGTTGGGCCACATTTAACATGCACAAGCACACATACTGCACGTGCATTTAAACTCTCTCACACACCCCCACACACACACACACACACACACACACACACACACACACACACACACACACACACACACACACACACACACACACACACACACACACACAGCCATTGATGTCTGCCCATGACCTCTGACAACACTGATGATGTTGGGCCAATAAGTGCTTAATTGCCATTTTTCCGTTGGGCTGGTTTATCGATGTCATTTCAAAAGTGATTAATATGAACTGTTAACTAGCTTTTGCATTAAGCACCAAACAAAACGTAACTTGCACTTGAATAAGATAGATGTTGCATATTTTTGAAACATTTGCAGAGATAAAATTCATTAAAAAATATTGTTAAAATAAAATGTCCAACTACAATTACATTAAACTTTATGTCTGTGCAAATATGCATTTAGAGCTGAACACTATGCAGAAAATAATCTTTAATATAGCACTTTGCACTTAAGATACATGCATTAATTATTTATTTTAAGGAAACAATTGTGCATGTTGTAATTAGCAGCAGGGGGACACAGGTGTTGTTTTTTATCTAAATAAAATTATAGTCAAATGAGTCCAAAATATTTTCTCAACATTTGTGCTCTCTGCACACTCTCCATGGTGTTTAAAAGGGCCATTAACACGGTCACTTCCTCTATTAATACACTGGTAGAATTCACCAACAGCATGCTCAGTTTTTATCTCTCGTTCTGGGAGAGCAGAAACAGAAATATGAAGACGCTGGCTTACAGGAAGGAAACCCATGGCAGCCTGATATTAAAATGGTTCAGGAGTCAAGTAGAACAAGTCAAGTAGCTGGAGGGCAAACAGAAGAGGGAGAAAGAGGAGGGAAAGCACAGGTCATTCTTAAAAGCTAATGGACTGTCAATGGTCATATTGTATTATATTGAATATTATAAAATATGTTTGCCTCATGTGAAGACAGTGCTATTAGTCATTGGCTGTCTATTATTTAACCATGGCTATTCAGAGCTACAATAATACAAAACAGAACAGACATTCATTCAATGTACATATTATCATTGGTATAGTGCCAATTTAAAAGCAGTGATTATTCAATTATAATATTGCTTTTCTTTTTAAAAACAGGCTTAGATTTTTAAAACCAAACGCCCCTCCACACATTTTCCTAGATCTTGCTTACCTTGCCATTGTGGTGTCTGTTTACCAGCTCCAGAGATCAGAGCTCGCCATCGCTGCAGCTTACAGTGCTGTCCACCAGATGGACTGTAGCCTGAATACCAGGCCATGCAGGGCTCATACAAAACACATTTCTGTGCCTGGACATACAAAAAAGCCCCCATCACTTATACAAGTAACATTATACAATTATATAAGTTACTCCAGTTTGTACATTTAAAATCACACTGGTTGTAGAATACATATTGCACACACTTAGTGCAATTTATTGCTTCTCGGTCACAATTAAAGCAGCGTTATTAAGCATGTATCTCAAGGGTAATTTTCTAGACATTCCCAGGAGGAAATATCTGCACAGCCTCTCTTCAACGACAGAGAGCTTGATCCATCCCGAAAGGGGGATTGAACTCTCACAAGATGAAGACATGACATGTTGGGCTTACTTGATGTCAATGATAGGACAGCTCACTTGTAGATCGGGCATGTTGCCAGCCAGCTCTCCCTGGGTCCTGAATGCTGCCTCTGAACAGAGGCCAACGACACAGATGACATCCGGGGAAGCCCGTCACCTGTTGCTTAAAGACAGAATAATCAAAGTGGGTCATATGGGACGCTGGCCTCGCAGTGGGTGCAAGGGCTGATGTGCATCTAATACATGCGTATGTGCCCTGAGTGTGTTTCCTAAAGTTGTCAGGGCAGCAGTCAGAGCTGAGCCCTGAAATCCACCCCAGTGACAGAGATCATCAGCATCAGCAGAAGATCTTCAGCCTGGATCATGTTCACAATGCAAGCTGTGCCAGGCAGTGACACTGCTGCACTGTCCAGTCTACAAAAAAAAGGCCAGCCAACACATTTCTGAACATTGATTTACAAATGTTCAAACTAGCAAACGTGTGTAAGCAATACGAGCATTGCTCCAGGCAATAACAAAGGTGGTAGTTGAAATGTAAACAATAACTTCATTGATTTGCATGCATGCAGGTAAGCTATGTTATTGTTGTCCAACTTGCCCTGAAGGAATTTTCTCTTTCTTACGATCCACGTTTGACACGTCCCTGACAATATTGCTTAATTGCAACCTCAATGAAACATGCATGCACAATCAGGGAGGGAGTTTACTGTCGAATTTATGGAAATGCATGAAAAAGGCCTGTGTTAGTTGTAGGGTACACCTGCACTTGTCAAGGTATACTCAAGTACGCTGGGTAATTGGCTGTTGATTGCTGCCATTAACATCTGATGGCTAAGTGCATCTAATTCCTGTTCTATTTTCGCGGTTCAATTTGATGTCAGCACCCACTCTTTCCCTCGCAGGTGATTAGCTGTGCCTGTGAAAATTGTTCTTTTTCTAATGATATCAGCGCAATATGGAAGGAGTCGTAGCCTCAGAAGCGCCATTGTAACTGACACCTTTGCTTAATTGATATCCTTTGTGGTGAGCAATAAAGGAAGACATGGGGAATGTCATTTATTACTACTATTTTGGACTAAACCCAGTAGGTTTGATGCCACAATAAAAGTGCAAAGGGATGCAATAATCTATATATCTGTCCTTTGGAATGATGCTATAACAGGACTGGGTTAGCATTTTTCCATGGTTTAATATTTGCTCTATAATGAAACAGAACTATTTTGTTATTTGTTACAAGACACAAATCTCCTTTGTCTTTGTCGTTTAAGCTGAAATTATTACAGAGAATGGTGCTCACTTTTACTATTTGCATCTATTACAGTATCACCACCTCCAGGCACAGAGACTTGGTATCCCTTTGAGTTTAATCTCCTACTCTGCCTGCATCCTTGCGGCTATTTCATTTAAGTTTTAATATGTGTATTTGACATTTTTGTTCATTTAGGCCCCCTCCCCTGCTGCTCCACACTGTTAATTTAATTGACGTGCTGCTGCCTTGTGTTGTTTATTCTGTCCTTTGTGAAGATTTCCCCTCGACCAACAGCAAATAACTCCCAACGAGATATTTACATTATGGACGTGTACCGTGAAGTATATGCGCGCGTGATGACACTTTTGACGATATAAAATGCCACGCGGAACAACAGACCATTCTTATGAGCGAAGTAGTAAAACAAACAAAGTATTTGACTTATCTGCCTCTGCATTAAGCTTTAAGTGTCAAATGTCCATTCTACTAGGCTACTACTAAAATAATAATAATGGCTATATCCTAATATTTATTAATTTGAAGAATACCCGAGTGAAGAATACAGATCCAGTTCCAGACAGCCAGTCCCATTGGTTTTAAATGTCAAGCCGTCGTGCCCCGTGGTGTTCTTTGTCTGAGCCGCTCTCAGATCAGATCTGCAGAGCGTCCTCGGGAATGGTGCGTCTGCCATCTGCAGGACACCGAGGGAGAAACACACACTGTACAGACCGGCGAGAGTACAGTCAGAGAGGACAACAGTGCTGATTGTGTGATTCTTCCTGCAGCTGCATAGTGATAGTGTATATGCAAATCATGAACCGCTGCTACAGTATAGAGAAAACATTGAACACATATTATTAACAAGTCATTTCCAGGTAAAGTGATTTATTGAATAATAATGTGATTTACTTTTAATCATGCTTTATTGCATTATTGTATTGTCCCAGCTCTTGGGTCACTTCAATTTCGGCCCACCTTTGAGAATATCTTATCACCCAAAGTTAACAATTGATTATTTTCCATCATGGCGTGAGTGGCAGTTCTACTGTGGAATCTACAGTAACTCTTAAGTGAGGGTGCGCTTTATAAAGAGGCCTACAGGAGGGACATGATCTAATGAGACTGTTCTGTCTTATGCTGAGCTGGTGTACAGTTGAGGAGGGGAATGGGGGAGGCCCTAATTCACTGTACAGCCAGGAAGTACCAGACCAACGTGTGAAGTCATGCACGAGTCCCGCTGGACTGATCATCTGTCTCTGCACAGCCATCTGGGTGAGACCTCAGGCCTGTTTATGTCTTCAAGCTACAGAACGACATCAATATAAAACTCATACAAATCTTTCTCACTTTATCCATCAGCCATCAGCTGAAAAACAAACTCCAGTGCCCTGTTGTCTTATTTGGAATACATTTGTACACTTTATGTTTGTTTAGTTTATCGCTCGAAAGAGTATCAGACAATCATAAATGTGGAGCAGCATGAGGCAAAACAAAAAACCAAGCCTCCTTGTATCTTACATCAGCTAAGTGCCACATAGTGGAAAGATCCAATCTCCAAATCTGGCCTATCTAGCCATTGGCTTAAGCAACTAATTAACTTCACACACCAAATTTGAATTTAAATTAACAATTGTGAGATATCATCAGGGGACACAAAGCACCCCGTGAAGAAGTTTATGATGAGAAAAAAATATGAGTATTAACCGCTGAAGTAAGGAGGGCTTTTAGATGAGGGGATATCTCCAATTACAATCCAGCGTACACTTGTCAGCAGTAATGAAATGTTTGCTGAGAGGTTGCTATTTGTGACTGCTAGATTGGAAGATGCTGCTCCACTGCCCCCACCAACAATTATATCCCACGCATACATTTCCCAACACTCTCTTCTGTCGTTTAAACTCTCTGCAAAATATACCTACAACTGTCCCAATAAGCCTCGGAATAATTAAACATCATGTACAGTAGGTACGACATTATCCCCCTTGCAGTGGACATGTATATTAAGAGCCACAGAAGAATAAAAAAATAAAAAGGAAAAACTTCTGCTTCTTTTATTGTTTTTAAAGAATTACATAACGCATTAATCACAGTAAAGACAAACCGGCTTTCCCCGCATGTCATATTGTGCAAGCTTACAATAAAATGTAAAATTAGATGTAAGATGTAAAACTTTTTTTTTTTTTCTCTGCTCAGCTTTTCGACTCAATTGACCAGGGAGCAGAGCAGTGACGATTTGACACAGACTAACAATTTAGTCGATTCACTTGACACAACTACCCTGTGGTTTGCATACAATCAGAACTTATATTACAGTTTGATCATTATAGCCTTGTGTATATGTGTAAATGATCTGGTGTTTTAATCAGTACTTGACTGGGGACATCTGCAGCTGCTGTGATCGGCCATCTGAGGAAACACTGAAACATAAGCCAGGGCCAAATAATTTCATCAGATGTGTGCCGTATGTATTCCACATTTAGGTGACATCACATAAACCTAATTAGTATAGATGCAACCTGCAACTTCATTTTCCAGTGCATGGTTTTCTCATCAGATTGATTACAGACTCTGCAAGGAAGTATACTGCAAATTCAAATCTGGTGCTACTGTAGACCAATATATATACAATCCCATTTGAAATGTGCCCATTAATGTGGAAGATTGAGATAGTAACACATTTCTGTAGTCACAATATGCTTATGTTAAAGGGCATAAGTATTGATATTTCAATGCACTGCTCCCTGTCAATTTCTCAGGAAAACATCTGTGTTGTGCAAAATAAATCATTGAGTTCTGATATGCAAGTATCACGGACACAAAGAAAAGCTTTGCATCCTCTTGCAGGTTCAATTACTGGCCTGTGGCAGATGTTAATCCTATTAAACTGTATATCATCATACAGTATGTACAGACCAGTCAATGACTTCATGCAAGAGGAGGCAGAGGGTCAACCAATCACACGTTCATCTCACACACACTCACTATATATAAACCACGCTCACATACTACACCAACCACGTTAGCATAAAAGGAAAAGAAAAAAGGAAATCAGTAACAAGTCAATAGTGTTGATTATTTGCTCTTCTATCCTACTGTGTATTGTGCTGTCAGTTACCGTGAAAAGTAATGGGTTGTGAAAAAACTATAATACATGTGGCACGTCTGTGCACAAAAATGAAGCAGAGGAATTCAAGAGAGAGATGAGTTTTAGTCATTTCTGGATAATTAAAGACATGCTTGTACTATATTTGGAAAGATACAATGACACTGGGATATCACAGCACGCCAAATTGGGGATAAGAAAAAAATATATATAAGTGCACATAAACACGAGTCCCTTTCTTGAACTTATGAGGAGGTAGAGAGCTAATATCCAATCGATCACTAGTTCGCCCATTCGGACACATGTGGCATCTCAGGTATAAGATTGGAAACTAAAACATCTTTGTTTGCTAACAAAGTGTAATTTAAGGGTGATGTGAACGCAACAAGCATCACAGCAGGTAGATCACTTCCCCTCCCTGCCCTTTACTGTTTCACTATTTCTTACCAGTGCAAAAATGACCCAGTACTCTGTTGACAACCAACGCAGGGCAGTCATAATCAGGCTCATCGGTTTTAACTCTGAGGTAGGACCTCAAATTCCAAAGGGGGATATTTGTTCAAATTCAAGTAGAAGGGACTGAGCCGTGACAATCAGTGAAGCCCATGCTCCTGCAGAGAGGGCTGGACTAAGGTTGCTCTGTGGGACGCGATTGGCCCGTTGGGGAGGGGGGAGGGTGTAGGGTGGGGATAATGCCTATGCTGGGTTAAAAAAAGAAAAATAGTCAAAAATAACTAACTGTACAGAGCGCCCCACATCAAAGGCACAATATTTCCAGAAATGCCACCACTGCTCTGTGCATGAGTTGACCCTGTATCATAATCCCCCAGCAGCCCCGCCTACTCTTTGCTAAGGTGCCTTCCTAACTCAAAAAAGTTTATTATAATTACAACACTTGCCTCAGACATCATGAATGGGCATGATATGCATTTTTCACTTTTTTTTTTTTAAATTAAACAAAAGCATTCAATAGAATTACAGAAATAAATACATTTTTATTTCATATAAATATGTGGGCCCTTATGTCCAAATTATCACCGACACTTGTTTTTGGGAATAAGATGAAGTAAACAATTCATGAAAAAGCTGCCCTATATGTTTGACACACTTACCTTATGAGTATTATGGTTATTGTGAGGTAATCTCAGTGTTAACGAGTCACTAAATCCCTACAGTAACTCACGCACTGTAAATCCCCACGTTACAACGCATTTAATGAACATTATATCGTAATTTAATTGGAAGCTCTTCCCTCTTACTCAGGGGGGAATAAAAAAAAAAAATCAGTGATCACATCAAGGAAGTCTGGTCCCTTTATATAGGATTATCTTTTAAGTTGATTTAATGTCATATTGGTAATTATGTATATATAAAATTCCTAATACAGACCCCAAACGTGAAAGATGATTGAAGAGACAAAAAAGAATAATCCAAATCAGGTTAACATCTTGCTAATTCTTCCCCCGACGCCATTTTTTCAGCACAGCTAAAACCTGGATTTGTCCACATAGATACAGTAATATATATTTTGTACTCTTTCAACGTCTCTGGCTATGTACAAGCTATACAAATAAAGAGCAGGCTGAGGGCCAGGTTTCATAAGCTGTGCAGAGGGAGCAGTTGGTTGGGAAGTGTCCCAGTCTCCCGGCTCCTTCCCCCGCAGTCTGCCCATACAGGTGGCTGTTCTGCTTCACTTGCGATCATCGATGGTCTTAATGAATTCCAGCGCCGCGGTGAACTGCATCCACCAATAGCACTCCTCCCCACTCAGCCGGCTGGCATAGAAATTATTGATGTACTGAACGGTGGACAGCAGGCAGGGCGGGTTTGCCTGGAGGGGAGGAGATGTAGGGATGGGCCCACATTAGCGGCTGGAAGAAGCTCACGCAACGCCGTGTGGATTACAATCATAAATATGTAAATATGTAAAGAATATCCACACCGGTTAGCAGATAGCAGACTTTATGATGCCTCGGAGTTAAAATGCAGTCATTTGGGAAATACTGTTTCTCATAATTATGCTTAGCCTCTATTTATTTAAAAAAGCAGGAGATTATGCAAGTTTTACTAAATACGTTTTCAACAGATTGTGTGAGAGAAGGAAGATCCGACTCACCCTTATGAGGACAAAGACGAGCACAGGGACAAAGTCATCGGCTCCGGGGACTGAGTCCTCGTTGGCCAGACTGAGGAGGTTCATGATGGTGGAACACATGCGCAGTACACACTGGACTTTGTCTCGAGGCGTCTTGTATGCATTGATGGTCCTGATCTCAGACTGGGCGGAGGGCCAGGGAGCCTCCTTCAGGTACACCTGCAACCAGAGGAGAGAAAAACACATTCAAGACAACTTTAAACAGTATTTTCTTCTTCTATAAAAAAGGCACGCAACTGATATTAAAACAAATGTGACCATAGGATACCTCTGGGATTTGCAGAGCTTTATGATTGGCCGTCACAACTTTTGTGAGCCGTTGGATATGTTCATGGAAAAGCCTGTGTGCACAAAACAACTTATGACATATAGTAT